CTGAACAACAAAAGGAAATAGCAAAAAAGAACAATTAAAACATCAAAATATAAAAAACAATAATAACATATATAAAGTTTTGGATTGAATTTCAGGAAATTAAAAGGCCTTTCACCGAAATGCGTGGTACGGTTATCTACAAACCCAGACATATCCCACTGATGTAACATAATCATTTGATTTCGTTACAGCAAGTCGTTCCATAGACTTACCAAAGATCATCCATGATTCAAGACAAAGAACCCGTCGCCTCACCGTGTCTTCACCTTCAAACGACACCAACTTTCAAACTGTTCGTAAAGAACTTTTACAAACAATGGGAGTGGAGGTGAATAAAGCCTTTTCTAAAGCGTGTGGAGCAAAGAAGAATAGATGTCCACCAGGACCTCCCGGTCCACCTGGACGACCAGGTCGCAAAGGATCGACCGGAAGACGAGGACCACCAGGAAGAAGAGGCAAACGAGGACCCCAAGGACCCATGGGAAGGCCAGGCAGAAGTGGCAAGCAAGGCATGATGGGACCTACTGGGTTGAAGGGAGAGAAGGGAGACAGAGGTGATCGTGGACCACGTGGTGTAGCTGGACGGGATGGTAGACCTGGTCAATCGATATCTGCACCAGAGGTTCAAGTATCCCCTCCCTTGTTAATTGTTAATGAAAGCGATACAGCCGTGTTGCATTGTGGGTGGAGTGGTAATCCAGTACCTGTGATTGGCTGGAGGAGAGTTGGTGGTTTACTAGACAAGACAAGAAGTGTGTTGGATGCAGGTCTGGCAGGTGTTGATAGGAGTCATAATCTGGAGATAAGGAATGTTAGTAGTAACGATTCAGGAGTGTATGAGTGTAAAGGCAGTAATATACTTGGACAAGCAAACCAGACAGCTACACTTGTCGTCAACTGTAAGTCGTCACACTTTTGCTACATTATAGCCATTTTAATCATTTAATTAGACGTTATATGTTTCTGTCGGTATATTAAAATAAAATTTTTTTTTCCAGATCTTCCTGGTATTTCCCTATCTTTTGGACCTATCTACGTCGAAGAAGGAAGGAATGTAACCCTGCCAAAGTGTCAAGTGACTGGACACCCCACACCAACGATCACGTGGGTTAAAGTCCTTGGTATGTTGCCTGCTGCTCGTACCGTCATAAATGGCAGCCGTTTGACTTTATACTCTGTGGAAAAACAGGACACTGGGATATATGTTTGCCAAGCTTCTAATTTCCTTGGATTGTCTATTGGGAAAACGCAACTTAATGTTGTGCCTTTGCCAAAATTCACCACCACCCCTCCCCCCTCAATTGTCTTGTTAGTTGGTGAAAGTCTGAGACTTGATTGCGTAACCACAGCAGATCCTCCTGCTAGGATTTCTTGGAGTAAAGACAACCAACAATTGTCATCTGATGATAGAATACGGGTCCATGTGAATGGAAGTCTGACCATAACAAGATTGAAGACCGCTGACTCTGGGAATTACGTCTTTCAAGCTGTTAGTGCTGGGGTTGCCATGGCAATAACCCAAACAAATGTTAAAATACTTTTGAATGGTAATGACTTGATTTATTGCGATAAGTATTTCGAATTAAAAATGCGAAAATAAGTACTTAATATACCACTCCACACTCCCCCTATACAAAAAAAAAAAAAAAAAAAAAAAAAAAAAAAAAAAAAAAAAAAAAAAANNTTGAATGGTAATGACTTGATTTATTGCGATAAGTATTTCGAATTAAAAATGCGAAAATCAGTACTAAATATACCACTCCACACTCCCCCTATACAAATAAAACAAAAAAAAAAAAAAAAAAAAAAAAAAAAAAAAAAGCCAATACGATTCGATAACGCGATCATATGAAAATGTTTATCAAGAAATGGCATAACTAAGACCCACCGATTAGTACTCACTCTATCTTGGTCAATGTTTCACCTGTTTTTAACTTTATTTACAGATCTTAAGTTTACTAGAAGAACAACTAGTGATTACGTCATTATCAAAGGCATYCCYAGCATGKCKTCCGTKACGTTCTGYTTCTGGTTGAAGACCACTGTTGGTGATACTGTCATAAGTTACGCTGTACCTGGAAATGACAATGAATTGATATTTTTGACGACCAGTAGTTTTTATTTATTCATCAGAGGATCCTCGTGGTACGTCTTCCCTTAACATCACTGTTTGGTGCTATGACGTTTAGGGGGTACCACCTTGAAGCACGCAACAACAAAAAAAATCACCATCGTCGGCATGTGTCAAACCGGTTGATTACAAGGCGCTTTGTAAGCCGTCGCATTCTATTCACCATTTTCCATACATTGGTTCACTGGTCAAACGCAAAGCGCTCAAGCGAGGCGCCAAGGTACTTTCAAAGGATTATTCAAATTTGAACTTTGCAACCTCGACTGAATGCTTTGTGTTTGACCAGTGAACCGATTTATGGAAAATGGTGAATAGACCCCTTGCATGTGACGTCGTAGGTGCTCAATTTGGAGGACAAAACAAAAGAATTCCAATCTCATGAGAATTGGAAACCTATTGTTATGTCCTCCAAATTGAGCTGCATTCCGACGTGCTGCAAGGCGTCTGCAGAGGGCATGTGTCAAGGAGGGACACCAAGGGAGACCTGTCACATCCGGTGTGCACTACTATTTTGAAAGAATACTAGTATAACGAGTAACACATTGTTCATCTGCCTTCTAGCTGTAGTTATCATTTTAATTTCTCGTAACCCACCTATTATTACTAGGAATACCGGCGTAGCTGCTAACGATGACAGATGGCATCACATGTGTACGACGTGGAGCAATAATGATGGGCAGGTGATAGTTTATAAAGATGGCATCGTTGCTGCAAGAAAAACAAACTTCATGACAGGTCAGGTGATCAGAGGAGGCGGTACACTTATCATAGGACAAGAACAGGACAGTGTGGGAGGATCCTTTTCAGCCTCACAGTGTTACATCGGTGACCTTACCGGGCTGAATATATGGAACAGAGTACTGGGACCTAACGAGATATCTACCATGTCACGTGACTGTGGTGCTGGTGAAGGGAATGTGTTGAGCTGGAGTGACGTCACCTCTAGTGACCGCCAAGGTCAAATAAGGGTTGTATTATCCAAATGTGTTAAACAGCATTAATGACTGAAGCTAATTAAAGGTGAATACGGGGTAGGCACCCGTGATCCGCGTATCTAGATTTCTGAGTAATTGGTTTTAGGGCCATTAGACTTTATTGTGATTCTCCTTCCTCATCCGAAGGTTTAATGGAAGACCAGACGACCTCGTGCAAGAAAGATTTTAAAGAAAGAAAAAAAATAAACGTGAACAACTGACTACCTACCAGCTAGTGATACAACATATAGTAGTACTAGACAAGGCCAGGGGCGGGAAATAGTTTAGTTTACTAAGGAGTTCGTCACCAAAATAACAATACATTACGAAAAAAATAAATAATAATAATGGAAACCTTTAACACCACAAAAAGTGAAAATTAAATTGGATGTGACGTAAGAAAGGAACAGAGCTCACGTCCCAATTGTAACCTAACGCTCCAACTATATAATTATTATTAAGGCGAAAAAAAAGCAGTGTTTTGTCGACAGCGGATATTTCTAACTCCCTCTCTTTACTCAAACCACTTAAACTTCCGGCTACATACCGGATCATGCGGTTCATACTGCACTTTAATCGGCACAAAAACCTATCCGATACAAAGTATATCACTTTTGAAACCGGAGAGTAGCAACATCTATCCAATACAAAAATCACTACAGTCTAAACCTACTTATAGTCTATCACAAATCCTGCACTCTGATTGGCTGATCTACTAATGGTTTATTAGTGATAGACCACTAGTAGCGAAAAGTGCCGGTTTTGAACCAAAAAAATCGCGAATAACTCGCTATTTCAATCATTTTAAATTTAATGTTTATAAACAATACGTTCACCTGTATAACTTGGATTAATTTGAGTTTCAAAACCAATGTATTGATAATGAGATACTTTGAATAAATATCATATAAGCGTACAAGTATGATCAAGCTATAGTACTATCATACAAGTGTTTACCACCACTTAGTTCAACGGAAGTGAGAGACTTTTCCAAAAAGATGCAAATAATCCCAGATACGTAGGTAATTTTTACTTTGAATTTGATCCCTCAATCCATCAAAAAGCAATGATCTTTGATTCCGTATATGCTGTTCGTCAAACCCATCATGTAGTGAGATGACTTTATGCAATCGTTGTACTCACTGACAGTATACAAAATTTACACGGCGTAGTTTTTCTCGGTCACTTTGTGTAAAAGCAAATTCCGAAGGGCTGGCAGTAAATCAAGGAGGTAAATTGATTTTGGATGGGGAGGGGGTGGGTTTTTGCTTTCAAAAATATGAGATATGTGTACTACTACTTCAATAGCATGCATCCCCTTATTTCATTCAGACAATCTCACCCCACCCCTCCCCCTCCTCCCCTCT